CAAACCCCCCACAAACCCACCGCACACCCCCCACAAACCCAGCCATTTCTTTTGAGAACATCTTTCCTCCCACAGCAAGGCAGGAGACAATGGCCCTGGGGCCACATGCCAGCCACCGCCTGCTTCCATGTGGACCGTGAGCTACGTGTTCTTACAGTTTTAAACCATCGGAAAAAGTCAGAATAACCCTACACGACCCATCCACGGATGACACTTCTTGGCATGCAGCCACACCCCTCGCTGCCATGCTGCCCGCAGTGCCAAAGCCAGGAGGAGGCCGCCCGCTCCTGGCAGAGAATGCGGCTGGAGGGGCTGTGGCTGGTCGGCCCCGGGCATCTGCTTGGCAAGGCTTCCGTCTGTGGTTTTCCATCGAGCACGTGGAGTTGCTGATGAGAAAGAGGTGGTGTAGACATGGTGACCGTGACCAGCATGCAGCCGTGGGCCGAGGAGGCCTGTGTGGGCCCACCTGGCTGCATGGGGAGCTGCGCCTCCCTGAGGAGGAGGCGGTGGTGCCCGGGGTCCTGCCTGGTTCCCTCATGGCCAAGTAAGCCAAGGGATTCCTCTCCAAGAAGCTCTTGAGCTCTGTAACTATGTGTTATTATAAACACCAACATATCCTCTGGCTCTGCCCCTCTGGCAGAATCCACGCGATACCCGGTGAGACACCTGAGTAAACACCTAGATGGAACCTCCCTTGTACACCCAGGGGGCGCGCACAGGGTGTTTCCCTAGCTAGGAATCCGTCTTTTTCACCACGAGACTCTTCATGGACGTATGTTTTGAAATGGCATCAAGCGTGAGTTTATTCAGGTTTTTAAATTTCTTTCCTGTTTGTCTTATTTCCATTTCCTGGTCTTTCCTCTCATTTTTTTCTTTTGTTTTCCTCTCTTGGGGAGATAAGAGGCAGGGAGGCAGGCAGCACTCTCAGCCGTGTCCCTGCGATGTGGACGAGGCGCTTCCCTCCAGGCGGGACTGGAAATGTGGGCCCTGTGGTCAGCAGGTGCCACGGCTGACCCTGCAGTCCAGAAAGCAGAGACTTTGCCAATGAACAGCAAGCAGAGAGAAGGCCAAGGTCAGGGGCCGGGGGCTGTGAGCTCTGAGGGAGGGCAAGTATTGACATCCCCAGGCAGACGGCCACCGGCGCACCCGCTGAACACCGCCCAGAGACCTGGTGATCCTCCAGGTGGCCAGGCTCCTCATCCCACCCAACAATGCCTGCAGACTTTTGGAATGCACAACTGCAAGTGGGGTCTGATGCACACCTGGAAGAGCACCGACTGTTCGTGCCTTGGTTTCCCCATCCCACAGCCATGTGGAGCTATTCAGGAGGCTGCACCCCATCCCAGCCCCACTCTGGACATGAGACCTGAAGCAGGTGCCCTCTGAGGGCAGCTCCAGGGAAGGGTTGGTAGAGCAGCCGGGAGGGGTCAGGGGGCCGCTGTGAGTGAGCAGGAGACACTCGGTGACCCCACCCTTCACAAGGCTGAGCCCCACAGACTCTGCCCTAGGCAGCTCTGGAACACGTGGCAGTGCCAACTTCCCCCGGGATTCCTCTCCTTCACTCAGGTTAGCACTGGGTGTGGAATGGGGGTGCCAGCCCCCTGGTCCAGACCACCACATGCGGGGGTAGGAGCACATTCCCAAGCCAGTGGACCTGCCTGCCTCCAGCGCTGGACCCCAGGGCCCCCACAGCACACGGTAAACTTCTGTGTGTCCCACCTGATGCCAGGGACATCCAGGGCTTGACAACCTTTCCCTTTGGAGTCTGTGGGGGCTGAGCCCAGGGCTCACACTGATTGGGGCTCAGACCGACAGTGGGGGCTTCTCTAGGGCCTCCTGGGACCTGGCTGGCTCCATCACCCTCCCTCTGCCCCCACAGCATCGAGAAGTTCCCCCAAAAAGCCCCCATGAGATTCAGGGCAGTGCTTGAGTCCATGTCCGGAGAAAGAGACAAGCCAGGACCTGCTCTGTGCCCCAATCATGATGTGTTAGGACCCCTCCCCCACCCCCGGGAGAGACAGGTTGACCTGTGCTCACCTTGGCACCCCATACCTGGAGCAGTCTCTGTGCTGGGAGCTGCTGGGTGCAGGAGGAAGATGTCAGGGCAGAGCCTGTGGGGACCCCTGGCCTGGGAGCATCAGGGGCAGAGCCCTCTCCTTGCTACCAGCCCCTTCCCAGCCTTCTTGTCCAGGGCCATCACCCTGGGGACACCAGGGGCTCCAAAGCTCCAGGGGGCAATGCTACCAAGGGGGTCAGGGCGGCCAGGGCCTGGGGTGCCTGGAGCTTCTCCACCTGGGAACTGGCCATCACCTGCCTGGGCCCCGTGTCCCTCAGCTGGAGTTCAGGAGCCATCACAGGGTCCCCACAGAGGGGCTCCAGGAACTCCTGCTGGATGGGGTAGTGGGGCCCTGGGAACATCCCACTCAAAGGTCCCATAATAAGAGGCCAGGGTAGCAGAACCCTGGCACCCCTGCAACTAATTCTGCCTCTGTGAGTCTTCACGACAACCCCCCAATAGTGCAGGCTTCAGGCCCCCCAAAATCCAGGGCAGCAGGGCTTGGGGACCCCCCTGAACAGGTGACAGGGTCAGAGAACCTGGGGCAGAAGCAGCCGTGTAAAGGTGGAGGCCAAAGAAGAAACAGGTGGAGGCCGAGGAGGGGACAGGTGGAGGCCGAGGAGGGGGATCAGGCGGAGGCCAAGGAGGGGACAGGTGGAGGCCGAGGAGGGGACAGGTGGAGGCCGAGGAGGGGGATCAGGTGGAGGCCGAGGAGGAAACAGGTGGAGGCCGAGGAGGGGGATTAGGCGGAAGCCGAGGAGGGGACAGGCGGAGGCCGAGGAGGGGGATCAGGCGGAGGCCGAGGAGGGGACAGGTGGAGGCCGAGGAGGAGACA